TGACTCCGCTTCTTGTTTCCCAATTGGATACCAAGTCGGCCCATTTCAGATGCAAAGTTGAGGCAATGATCTCTGGCTTGGGAACTTCTTCTAAACTTGTGAAAGGCATCTAGTCAAGAATAGGTAGATCCAATAACTGAGAGAGTTCTTCCATGGTAGGCGCCAACTGATAGTCTGGAAAGGTGAAGCAGTGGTGCTTGGGATCAAAGAACTGAAAGAGTACCCCCATCATCTTTCCATCAAATCTCGAAGTAACCAGGTTGATAAGTCGACCATGTCTCTTAGTGAACGAAGAAGTTTCAGGAACCTTTGATACTAGCTCCTTGAGTTGGAGAGGTATTATCACAAAGATGATTCGGATAGTATTTCTACGAGTGGAAGCCATGATCTGCAAAACATAACAAAGATAAATTCCCTTGGTCCTTGAAATGGTTAGTGTAATGAGCATGGATGCTATGTTATGATGCATGATGTTATATTCCAACAGAGTAAATCACACACAAGCAAAGCACACAATAAACTTTAGGTTCAAAGGCTTGCATGAGGTTAAAGGTAAGTACCCTCTTGAAGTTTAGTTGGTTTCAAACTTGTCTTATAAAAGTAATCGGATTCTAAGGATTCTCAATATCACTGATCATCCTTTATCGGGCATTGTTTCAGCTCAGACAATCTTTTCTTGCGGACGAAATATCCCAAAAGTCTGATCTCAATGAGTGTAGCATCGAGTATCAACCAATCCTCAGCTTTATACTGAGGCCGGCTATTTCACTACTTTCTAATGGCCAAGTTTGTTCAACTAAGGTTCTAAGGTTCGTTAGTGCTTCACGACACCATGCGGTGGCCCCATATTCTCCTAGTTTCCACACGAAGGATACCGGGACCAACCAAAGTGTCACACCAACACAGTCATCGCTTAAACCATATCGGTCTACACCATACAGTCTCCAGGATCTATTGTAGTTTACCTAAAAAGTGCCCCCCAGATCCGGGTGTAGGATCTTCAACAATACCCAAACAAAACCTTTAAAGATAAAGCAGACAAAACAAACAAGAAAGCAATTTTAAAAATGACCTAGATCCTAAGGTATACCCCACTTTATGTATTCCCAAGCAGAGTCTCCAGTTCTGTGATACGGTGGCAGAACCGATTATTTTATATTGGTTTTGCATTTTGTATTCGCAAATGTCGCGGTAAGCAAGAGTCGCCACCGACTTTTATTTCATCTAATAAAGGAAAAGGAAAAAGAACAGAAAAAACCTTTTTCGAGAGTTTTCTGAGTACGGGGTGTAGATTATAGAAAGGGAAGGTGTTAGCACCCTTTCTATCCATGGTTTTCCATGGGCTCTTAGGTACTTGCTCATTTTGAAATTGCTTGTGCGTGTTTTTGAAAAGTTTTTGTTTAACTTCGTGGTAACCCTTGTATCTGTCCTCAAGAGTGTGACGAAGTTATTTTTGAAAACTGTTTTGAAAGTGTTTGTGTGAAATAATTTTTGTTGTTTTGAGCAAGTACTTAAGAGTTTCTACCTACTCGAAAAAGATGATTTGTTTTCTCGTTTCCTTTAGACATCACTATCCTACTATTAAGGAGTAGGTAGCTCTATCGTTGGAGTTTAAGGGACATTTGAAGGGACAATTACGGTCACAAAAGCAATGGTTAGGAAACCTTAGTAGTTACCCTAGAGTCTTAAATATCTCTCTGAGGCAACATTCGAATGGGTCATTTTTTATCTTTTGGGACTAGAGGGCGACCACTAAAATTCTCTATACTTCATGATTATTTATCGAAGGCAACTGAAGTGGGATAAACCCTAGGAGTGAACATGTGCATGTGTTTGATTTCAGTTGATTATCTTTGCACAATTAGAGTTTTCTACTGTTTTAATTTCATTTGTCTTTTGCATACAATCCTATTATCAATCATCTATCAATTAATAGTTGTGGAAATTAAAAGCGGAAAAGTAAATCTACGCTATTACAAAGCTTTGGGGAGGGGATTACATAACCAAAAACTGGGGATTAAACGGTAAATAATATGTGGTAAACCCTAATTAAAAGTTATTACAAACCCGAAGCAAATACAATAATTAGAATTAAAAAAATAAAATATTGCGCATGCGATGAATTAAATACGGGAATCAAAGTCTAAATTCAAAGGGAATCAAAGAAAATATTTTTGTTATTTTTTGATTGAGAAAATTAACTATTTACAAATTAACCCTATTTTCTAATTGATTTTAATTATGAAAAAAAAGAATTTAAATTGCCCTAATTAAATTAATCTAATTAATTAATGAAATAAAATATTTTATGAAAAAATATGATTTTAATGTTTTTTGTGATTTTTTGATTTAATAAAAAAATGATTTTTGTTTTCTTTGTAAAAATAATTAAACAAATAATTAAAATAAATAAAAGAAATTTAAAAAAAATAGTGGGCCTCGTGGGGGTGTAACCCAGATTGAAGGGTTGCAAGCTAAATTTGCCCAACCCAATTTGCTGATGGCCTAATTATCTAGCGCGCAATTCAATGAAGCCTGCCTTTGAGGGTCCACCATGGGGGTGAGTTATTGGACGCAGGATCTGGATCTGAGATGATCCCATGGTTGGATCTGAGGACGCATGATGGTCTTGTGAAGGTGAGGCGCATGGGATCCTGCAAAGTAGGTTAGAAAAATAAAATAACAAGATGCTTGGGCCTGGGATCGAACCCAGGTCCCTTCTCTCACAAGCGCTGCCTTTTACCATCTGTGCTGGGATGGTTAGTTGTTAATATAATAAACCAATAATAACATAACGTAAACAAGGTGGCATGCCCAGAAAAACGCGCCAACATTCAAACCGGCCAATGGGAGTCAGCCACATCACTCATCTTCTCCTTAGAACTGTCGTTTTTTACCATACTTTTACCTACGGACTGCATCCGTTACTATAGCTTATAGTAACGGATTAAGCGTCATTAAAGCCCCTTGCAAAAATCAAAATTCAAAAATATGCAATATAAATTAATGGTGAGGCTATGAATCAACTCATTTTGGTCCCCTGAACATGATGATGGCATTGGTTTGTCCCAATCATGTCTAAATTAGAAAGCCCTAATTTGAAGCTTGGAACCCTAGCAATGATAAATTGTGATTCCTGTACCTAAAACTCAATCAAACAATACAGAGAGGATCGCAACTTTATGATAAACAAGAATACATGGTTAATTTTCATTGAAAGTACATGTATGTGCGTAATCAAAAATAAAAGATAGTTAGAGAACCGAATCCTGCATCTTACGATTTTGGATGTTTTGTGACTTGGGAATGATTGGAATAACTTCAGAACACGTCCAAGAATGGATTGTTGGCTTTGAAATTGCTTGAATTGGTCTGTAGAGAAAGATCTGATCTGCACTTTTCTTTGAAAATTTGGAACTTTGTTTGACCCCTTGAGGCAGGCTGCACGTCTGACTTATTGTCCTTAGGGTTGAGAGTACTTGTGTATAAGTATGTGAATCAAATTAGGGTGCTAAGTTTAGAAAGAATCCAAGATTTGATAACTTTTGAAAATTGCTTCCAAACTTTCCAAACTAGGAGATTTCCTCTTGTTTTTTATTTTTCACGGTTTTGTTTGGCTTTGTGACAGCAAGCATGATCTCTAATTCAATGCAAATAAATCTCATCCCATTAATTTTATTTATTTTAATTTAATTTGATTTTATTTGAATTTTAAATAAATAAAATCAAAATAAATTAAATAAATAAATAAGGCATGGAATGGTTTATGGATCGTGGACCATGTTAGGAATGAGATTCAATCTTGAAAAGTTGGGTCCATTTGGAAAAAAAAAATGCAATTTTGGGCATTGTTGACTTTGTGCAAATTTCTAAAAATGGTCAACTTTGACAATGCATATCTCCTTCAATTTTAACCCTAAGAGGGTGTTCTTGGACTTTTTGGAAATCTTAGGATGTCCCCTAAACAACCATTTTGGCTTCATCTCAATTGGATCTTCCATATTCATGTAAGAAACTTTGACCCAAAAGGTGTTTTTGTTGACTTTTGAAAAAGACCTATAATGTCTGAATTTACATCTTTTCGTGAGTGCATTTCTTGAACTTGAGGGCTGAAGATGAGTTATAGGGAATTGAATCCTCTTCAAAATGATCCTTGGATGGGAAATTTCTGATAAAGTATGAGAAAGTTATGTCTGGTCAAAGTTTGGTTGACTTTTCTTATAGAAACCCTAATTTAGCAACTTTTGAGTTTTGATGAATTTGGGGCATTCCTTGAGGAATCATGATCAATCCTTGATCAAATGATGGATGTTACTTCAAAATATTGATGTTGACCAAAAATCTTGAAGTTTGACCGTATGTGGGCCACAATTGACTTTTGACCTAGCACAGTTGATTTTCAGGCATCTGAGTAGTTGACTGAGCAAACTTGTAGTGCAAGGCATGAAACTTGGCATGGATGATCTTGAGAATATATTAGGTCAAAGGAAATCATTTAGGCCCCTTGGAACTCAAATATCTTGATGAAAATGGAAACCTTGGTTTGAGGTCCATTGCCTTTAAGAGAGCATTTGTCTGGTTAATTCTTGGGCATCCTTGAGCAATTGAGGACCTCTAGGAGTATGTTTTGAGTAAAATGAGAGGGCAAATTTTGGATTACAACATCGTGTATGATCTTTTATGGATTAACTGTTGTCGGCGATTATCTTTATAGTTGTATAAATATAAGACTCCTACGATGTTTTCGAGGTCGTAACATTCGTACATCTATATAGAACTAGAGTACCCGAGTCAAAGGGCAAAACTATTTGTGAGAAATATGTACGAGTTTACGTCCCTTTATTTTATTTTCCTTTATGTTTTCTTAACTAGAACATTCTTATTTCAATGTCATTTACTGCATATTATCATTTAATGTCATTTACCGCACTTATCATTTATTGCTTTCATCCAAACTCTTCTTTAATTAAAGTTTTTATCATTTTTGTCTTTGTGCAAACATGCACAATCAATTCGCAAACACACATTTTCTCGTATATTCAATTTGCAAAGATTATTCCCGTGACTTTTCGAGTTAATCTCACAAGCTAACTAAACTCGTGATTATTCACCAAGAACACCAACAAACAAGTTGTTATTGAAGTTGATCACTTGAGATTAGTGATTGAGAGAAAAAGAGAAGGATTCTCATATTTATAGGGGATACATAAATGGAAAGTCATTAGGATTAGGAAAATACATTGAACATCATGGGATTGATGTTCATAGAAGACTAATTATACTAACTCAAAGTAGTGAATTTCCTTTCTTGAATAGAGTGTCCTCTAGCTGTAAGTGTTGTTTGATTTAACTTGTTGGACCAATCGTTCGAACATCGTGTCCATCATTATATGTCTCCTCAGAAACATAATTTCAGTTTCTTATTTTATATTTTTGGAATCTATACAATATAATAAAGCAAGATGAATATTTGTGCAGGTTTGACATTTGGCAAACTCTTAACCCTTCTAATATATTTACATCTTACTATAAAACGAAAGTTTTAATTAATATAATTCTATTCATTTTATTTAATTATATCTATTTTTTAAATTAATTTGAAAAACTCAATAATCATTCAAGTGTCTATTTAACTTCTCAAAATCGTGTGGAAATTTTTTTTCAACTTTAACTATCGTTGTAACTGCTACATGTATAGAGTATTCAAAAAGACACATTGGAGATTGAATTAGCACATTTGATACAACAAAATAACAGATAGAGGGAGGCCTTTTATTCTCTCTCTCCACTTCCTTTTTCTCATCCAAGAAAATGTAGAACAAATAATCTTTTTTATTTTGATCTTTCTTTCTCACACAATCATACAAACCTAAAACAAAAAACTCATACACAGCAACACGAAATATTTCTTTCTTATCCATTTCATTTCTTCATAATCATTAATCATAGTTTCTAATTCATCATATTGTGATTTCAATTTCAATTTGGATTTCGATTTCGTAAGGTGTGGGAAATCTGCGGTTCTGAACAGTTTAATGGACATCTAGTTTTGGTAAGTTAGGTTTTTGAAACTGTATCATCTTAATTCTGTAGATGAAATGAAATTTGAAGTGAAAGTGACAGTTAATGTTTATTTTCTATAGCCTAATGGTGAGAATGGAGCTATCAGAGCTCCAATTTGCATTGGTCTACAACGGGATACTTCTATCAGCAGCAAATAGTGGACTACTTTTGGTGTAGGAACACTATTGTCTTACAAGATTAATGTTAGGCATTCTGATGTACAAGAGCAAAGTAAATGAAAAATATTGTTGATTCTCTAAGTAATTACTATGAAGATTTCGTTATTGCAGTAGCAACTTTTCTTCAAGCTCCATACATTATTCTCAAAGAGTTGTGTATTTAAGTATGTGGATAAGGACTTTATGCTATCACTGGCTTAATCTTCTGGAACAAGTAATTATAATTTTCAATTTCTAAGTATGACTAACAAAGTATAGGATATGCATATACTTTAATCACAGGAAAAATCAGCTGGTTTTTGACAATTTTTGTATGTACTCAGCAATTCATTCTTCATTTGATGCTAAACGCGGATAAGGAATTTCTCGCCCAAAACAGTGCTCTTCATCGAAACTTCTTCCATGTTAGGAAAGTTGATACTCATGTCCACCTCTCAGCATGCATGAACCAGAAGCATCTTTTAAGGTTTATAAATTCTAAGCTAAGGAATAAACCTGGCGAGGTAATAATTTGGATCTGTTTATTGTTGTATGCCAATATTATCTTAGTTTGGTTGCACATCATGATTTCCAAGCTTGGTTGTACAGAGCTTGGATTTTCACGGTGAAAGAAATGGATTTGGCTTTGGCGGCTGATCTGTTATCACTTCAAAGAATCCTGATTATTGTTGGTTTCGGCTACGCAATGGAGTTGGCTTTGACGGTGAGAAGGTACACTCCACCGGGATGGATTAGTTAAAGGTGACAATTGAGCAGAACCCACTTGTTCTCTCTTATTTGTGTTAATCACATTTATAACCTTTTTATTCCGTGATTTGTACGGACGCCAGAGCTCATTTACAAGTTCCTTGCTGGGAAACTCATGTTGGCATGCCATTTAAGGTTTTGGTTACTAATTCGTATTCAATTAAATGTCATGTGAATTTAAATAACAAGTTATTTACATGGTATGCACTGTATATTCAGGATCTGGCAACAGATACTTCAATCTTATTGTGACATCAAAAATTGTTAAAAGGTCCTGCCAACAAAACAAATTCATAATTATTTCGAAGAAATACTACAACTTCTGTTTGCAATGAAATGATAGTTGCATAATTACGTTTTATACGAATGAATGAAATTTTAGGTAGTTGCTTACGATTTTGGAGTCAAGCATAATATACTATGATTTTCATGTGATGGAACATGGTTAAAGAATGTTCTTCCAATTTAACATACTATGAGTAGAGAATAATAACCATTCATGGACAACATTCAGACAACTGCTGCTTTTGTTTGTGTGGTTGACAACTACTATTAATATCAAAAACATTTTATAATTGATTTTAATGTTATTATAACTTTATATTTTTTTACTTTACCAATGTTTAACCACACTAGTAAAAAATGAAAATGCAAATGCAAAAAGTAGCTTTGCCCCTGAATTGCACTTTGCAACTAGCCAAAGTAAAAGCCATATAAATTATACACATAATATTGTAAATATAAATAACTTTGGGTGCCATGGCTGTCATTTTAAAGAACCACTAAAAATAGTTTGCAAAACCTGGTAGCAAAAATACCTGATCATAGATATAGCAGTTTGATTTTAAAATACATTCGAATATGAGCTACCTGTTCTTCATTTAAGTGATAAGATTGACAGATTTATGATTGTTTTATGCAGAGAATCTAACTCCTCATTTTTATCCAATTAACTTCTATAAACATTCAGGTGAGACTTATATACTCTGGCACAAAAAAACCACCAAAACTGGTGAATAGAGGATGAAAAGATAAGCCACAGCCACTGTTAAACAACAGAACAAAACACAAGAGAGCTGAAAACCCTCCCTCCAATCATTCAAAGTTCTTCTACTATTACCGTGGAAGAAGAAAAATAAAGATTACAACCCATAAGAATATGAACAATCAGATTGCATAACAAATTCATGTATTCCTTAGAAAATTGTTTCATTTTTATGATGTATCCTAAAATACAATTGGATGATAACAGACCTATATTAAAAAATCTCCATATGAAAAATCCATAATTTAACAAAGGCATGCAATATTTCAGAGGACCAAAAAAACCTAAACTCTCAACAGCCTAGCAACAATATCACATACAATCAAGCTCTCCGTGCCAACATCAGTGCTTTCCTTCGTTCATAATCAGCATCATCTGTGGGGAACTCGTAGCGACAAACAGGACAAGTATTCCTAATCCCTAACCAAGGAACAATACAATCGCCATGGTAGCGATGAGAACAAGGCAACAACTTCACCTCTTCTCCAACAGCAAATTCATCTTTACAAACTGCACACAAAGCATTGTTGTTTTCCACATCATCTTTCGTCACAATCCCCAAAGGAAGATTCTGCACCACAGTTACAGAAGCCGGAGGCCTCCCGGTTGAAGGGTTATCATTACCTATGAATTGCCCAAACATCATATCATACTCTGTAGTGTGAATGTAATCATCATTATCCTCAAACGGCTCTGCAATAACATGGTAGGTATCAGGGCTTGTGCCTAAATCATTCGACAACACTTGCCACTCGATATTTCCTATGCCTTCACCAACTCTTGTCAATGTAAGCTCTCCTTCGTCTTCCCCCGATTCTTCGATATGCGGAAAATCAAGAACAGTACTAACTGACCTATTGTTACCGTTACCAGTCGGCATACCATCCAAACGACCGTCAACTTCCTCCCAATCAAAATCTTCATATATCTGATTATCCTCCAACTGAAGAGAATCCCAACGGAAAGGAAAACTCGTAACATCGTCGATTACATTGCTAAACTCTTCTTCATCAGAATGCACGCAGATCCCATACAACACGTTGTTTTCGTTTCCGATTCCGTCAACTTCCTCGCCATCCGATTCCGAATCAATCTCAACGATACGCATACCGTTGATCGGATCTGATCTCGAAACCCTCATATCGGTAAAATCGTCTTCAGCGATGTATAGATCTGTAGAATTTAACGCTAAATCGAGACTCAAACTGTCGAAAACGGAGTCGTTTAGCGATTGATGGATAGGATCGGTGTGATCGATCTGAGATTGCTCTACACGCTGTTGAAAGAGATCCATGACAAAATTTTCACGAGAGAACTGGTGGTGGTGGTGGGGATGGAAATCGAGATCGGAGGAGTACAAATCGAGATCAAAATCGAGATCGAAATCGGAAGGTGAAGACCAATAGGGTAAAGGGATTAGGGTTGGGTCATCGTCGGGTTCGTGGTGGTGGCGGAGATAGGTTACATCAGCCATTGGAAATAAAAGAGGGGGAAGGAAGAAAGTATGGTGTGGAAGTGTGATTTGAGAATCGGGTTCTGGGCTATAACGCGTGGGGAAGTGGAATGACGGATTTGACCTTGTGTCGTGTTTAGTGGATTTTTTTTCTTTTTTATTTTTGGGAAATTTGATGTTCGTAGTTTGACGCTTCCGAAGTACGAGGAAGAACGGCGTCTCTTGCTCTCTTACGCACACGTTGTGGGTTAGATAATATCTCACTAAAAAAGCATTCTACTATATTTATTTATGTGGACCTTATGTTCTCTATCTAATCTGAATATTGTTTAATATGAATATCTTTGAGATAAGGTGAATATCTGAATTAAAATTAAGTGAATAAAGATGTAGAAGAAAATGTGAGATTGATTTATTTTTTTAAAGAAAATATTGTATCTTTTCATATATTTAATTATACTACAAGAAGTATAACTATTCATCTAATGTAATAATACATGTAACTATTTTAAGTTGACAAAATTTTGTATATAGTAGATATTCACTATTCACAATATATTTTAAATAGTAAATATAATAATTTATTATTATTATAACACTTCCCCTTTTGAAATATTTGTCATGGTGCTTTGTTGAAGTCTTGTTGAAGATAATTATGGATACATCTGCCGTCTGATTAAAAACCTTATTAGGAAAAATCCATTGGGATAAAAACCTTAATAAGGGAAAAAAGTACAACATTATGCTCCCCTCAATAGGACACATTAGTTCTTCTTCAAAGATCTCGAAGGTGTCGCATTCTAATATTTTGTAAGTGCTTCCTGAAAACTGATGTGGGAAGTGCCTTTGTGAAGAGATCTGCCATACTATCACTCGAACGAATGTATTGAATATTAATCTCTTTGTTTCTTACGAGTTCTTGTGTGAATGAGAAGAACTTTGGAGGGATGTGTTTGGTTCTATCAGTTTTTGTGTAACCTTCTTTCATCTGGGTAACACATGCATCATTGTCTTCGTTGAATTTCTATTTATTGTTAAAGCAGATGCTCCTTGGATATGTTGAGTCACTGATCTTAACCATCTACACTCTTTGCTTGCTTCATGAAGGGCAATTACTTCATCATGATTTGAAGAAGTTGCTATAAGTGTTTGCTTTTGAGATCTCCATGATATTGCAGTGCCGTCATATGTGAAGACATATTCAGTCTGTGATTTAGCATCATGTGGATCTGACAAATATCCTGCATCTGCATAACCAAACAAAACGGGTTTTGTATTGTTAGAATAAAACAAATCAAGATCAAATGTACCTCTAAGATATCGAAATATTTGTTTTATTCCTTTCCAATGTCTCTTTGTAGGACATCTACTGAATCTTGCTAGTAAATTCACTGCAAAAGATATATCAGGTCTTGTATAGTTGGCAAGGTACATGAGTGCCCCAATGGCACTGAGGTATGACACTTCTGGGCCAAGATCCTCTTCATTAATTTCCTTAGGCCTAAAAGGATCCTTTTCAATATTAAGTATCATACCCATCATTGGACTACTCAAATGGTTTGTCTTATCCATGTTGAACCTTTTCAACACCCTTTATGTATAATTTGATTGATGTACCAATATACCATTTTTAGTATACCCAATCTGTAAACCAAGGCAGAATCTAATTTTTCCCTGATCTTTCATTTCAAATTCTTTTTTCAAATAATTTCTCGCTTCTTTGATTTCTTTATTAGTCTCAATGATACTTAAGTCATCAACATAAATAATAATTATTACAAATCCAGATATTGTTTTTCTTATAAAAACACAAGGACAAATGGGATTATTATCATATTCTTCTTTAAGCAAATATTCACTTAGTCTATTATACCACACGCGTCCTGATTGTTTTAGCACATACAATGATCTTTACAACTTAATCGCATACATTTCTTTTGATTTTAATGTATTAGGCCTTTTAAATCCTTCTGGGATTTTCATGTATATATCACTATCAAGTGGTCCATACAAATAAGAAGTAACAACATCCATAAGGTACATATCAAGATTATTAAATATTGATAAACCAATTAAATAACGAAAAATAATAGCATCCATAACAGGAGAATATGTTACCTCATAATCGATCTCTGATCTTTGATAAAAACCTTGTGCAATAAGACGAGCTTTGTATTTGACAATCTCGTTTTTCTCATTTCACTTTCTTACAAAAACCCACTTATACTCAACAGGTTTTACACCTTTAAGTATAGCCACAATAGGGCCAAATACTCTTCGGATATTAAGAGAATTTAATTCAGTATCTATAGCATCCTTCCAATTTTCCCAATCATGTCTATTTTGACATGCATTCATAGTTTGGGGTTCAGGATCATCATATTTATTCATAACTTCACATGCAACTGAGAATGAAAATATCTCATTAATATCCATACCTTTTTGGTTTAATGAATTTTCTGTATTAACATAATTAACTGAAATCTCGAGATCATTCTTGTTTTCAGCTTCATTATAAATTATCTTATTATCATCATCTTGTGCTTCTTTGAGAGCACGTTTTTCAATCAGAGATTTATTATCATCTAGTGTCTTTTCAAGATCACTTTCAATCAAGTTTACTCCCTTTCTTTTTCAGAGATTTTTGTCTTTGGATCCCATAGGTCGGCCACACTTCAAGTGTGCCTTAGATGTACTTGCTACATCATTTAGTTTTGAAATCTCAATTCGAGCTGGGACATTTACAGGTGGTACATGTGACTTTGTAACTCGTTTCAAATCAGTAAATGAATCTGGCAGTAGATTTGTTAAATTTTGTAAGTGCACAATTTTCTTTACATTTTCTTCCCGTGATTTATTATATGGATCCAAATGTAATAAATATGGTACATACCATGATATTTCATTTTTTGATTGTTTGTTTTTTCCCTCTAATCACTATGCCAGAAATAACCTACGAAAGCGCTTTTTTTGGATTTTAAAAGCGCTTAAAAGCGCTCTCGTAGGTGGCGCTGCTAAAGGTTTTAGCAGCGCTTTTTGTTCAGAAAAAAGCGCTCTCGTAGGCCTACCTATGAAAGCGCTTTTTTCTTAAAAGCGCTTTCATAGGTAGGCCTACGAGAGCATTTTTTTCTGAAAAAGCGCTTTCATAGGTGTATTCAGAATGCATATAAAGTAGGCCTATAAGAGCGCTTTTTGTTCAGAAAAAAGCGCTCTCGTAGGCCTACCTATGAAAGCACTTTTAAGAAAAAACGCTTTCATAGGTAGGCCTACGAGAGCGCTTTTTTCTTAAAAGCGCTTTCATAGGTTTTCTACTGAAAAATCTAAAATTTAAAAAATTTCTAAACCTGCATTTTTTTGCAGCAAACCAGTAATTCTTAAACCGGTATTTTACAATCTAATCTAGAAATACCAATATATATTAGTTTTAATCCAAATACCAAATGTAATTCAAATACCAAATATTATATATATATATATATATATATATATATATATATATATATATATATATATATATATATATATATATATATATATATATATATATATATATATATATATATATATATATATATATATATATATATATATATATATATATATATATATATACAAATACCATTATAATCAATTCATATTCAAAATATATATACACCATTGTAATTCAATATTAACATGTTTTTAAACGTAACAAAATACACCCTAAGAAATCAGCTATATAACACTAAGTAAATCAATCCTAATCTACATATATATCCAAGGTCCTGATCCTGCAATATGAACATAATAACACGGTCAGTGTTGTATACACAAAACAATATATTCATAATTAACCAATTTTCACACAACAATGTAATCGTACCTTATTATAAGATTCTTAGCTCAATAAAATATTGGCACAACTCCTCTTTGAGTTCTTCCAATTGACGTGGCGAGTAATATGGACAATTGTATTGATCAAAATACTACATTACAAAACAAAATATATGCATGATTTAGTTTAATGTAATAAATTATATGCAAAATCCGATAAGTAATAAAACAAAGTATAAATCCATACCGTGATTGGAATCTCGATTTCATTCATTTGAATGATTTCTTTGATAAACATCAAAACGAAGTATCCACAATCTATGCCGTTTTGTTGTTGAGGGAACTACATAGAAAAACAAATAAGATTATACACATCTATTGATTAAGTAGCATGTTATAAGCAAAATTGTTGAAATTTATATACCTGTACTTTGATCCAATTAATGTTGTTTGATCTAGACCGTGGTACTCGTGCTCCCCTTTGACATCGGAATACTTGTATTGAACTGATGACAAAATTAAAATATTTATTTAGAACAATGACATTGAAATAATTAAATATATAAACACAAACGAATATTTAGAATAATGTCACTTACGTATCAATCACTAGCTTCATTTCCGTATAATTTGTCCAATCACCGTCAACCGAATTCAGGTAATAGACCACTTCTTTTATGGGATTGATTGCAAGCAACAACCAGTGACATCTATAAATTAAAGCAACAATTTAGAAGCGAATTTTAATGTAAAAAATACAAATATTAAAAGGAGCTTAGAATGAAAATCTAACCCTGTATTATAAGGCAAAAGATACAAGCTCTCTGTACTGGCAGTTGTCCTGAATCTTTCGACCAAGTGTTCTCTTACTGAATCAGGTTCCCTAGAAATTGTTGCTCCGCTAACACGGGAGGAAGACACGAAACGGAATCTATTTGACAATTGATTCCCGCGCATCAATTTGTCAAATAACATCCTTAAATAAAAACATAATTAATATTAGACTATTTCAATTAAATGTTTAAAAAAAATGTTCAACCAATTAAATAATATATTGATCGGGTTACCGGATGTACGAGTGCATCACACTGATGCCTAACTCTCGATGATGAAAGATTTGTTCCATGTCCTCTAATCCAATTGTTTCGGTACATGGAAAACCAAAGACAATTTCATCCACATCGATTTGACGAATTCCATCATTCATC